AATGGAAGGTGAAATTTGCCATGAACAAAATAAAACAGAAACAAATTATGCATTCATTTCTGCAGTTATGACTACATAGCAAGATAATGTTAAATATTGACAAGAATAATGAGTTCATATGTTCTGCAACTATGTCTGCAGGGGAGACGATAATGGAGAGGCTCAGTCCTTATTCCAAAGGATGCATTAGTAGATATTGATGTCTCTTCGCCCCAATTCAATTTGGAATATAACAGAAGCATATTGGCTGATGTCCATATCATGTAAATTCATACAAACCGTTCATTAGTCAGTAAAACGCTGACACTATCCATTTTTCGCAACGCAATGTAAGTGTCACAAATGAGAGTGGAAGTCGAAAGCCGAGGCGTAACATTCAGCTTCAGAAAATTAGATGTCAATCTGCTGATAATTACCACTAATACGCAAGGAACCACATAAAGGAGTTGCACATCTCTAATAGAATTGCTCTCTCCAAATGCGTCGACATTTGTCTGTCATCATTCTTTCACTTTGTAGCCAGCCACCGCACTCATCAAGCAGTTAGGTGACTTTAATTGATGTTTGTGTTCCCAGTAAGCACACGCATCCATCAACTGGACATCTCTAGCACATTAGTCACTTTTGTGGAGCTTTGCGTGATATAGTACCAGTCAACCGGAAATTTAACGTAACACTCTGCTTCGACAAAGAGCATGAAAAATCTAACCTGACAGCTGGCATTAGATGTTCCGAAATAGCACCAAAGTAGATTCTAATTGCTTTCTAATTTAAATTATCATCCGCCCATTGAGTCAAATAAAGACCCTTCAGGACCTATGCAACACTTAACGTTCAACAATGCTTATTCCTACCGACGCCTTATTGATAGAGTAGTCCTTGAGTTCTCCTCATTGGTGCCAAAAGACCATGAAACAGTCACTAGACAGGTCTGATGTGGTAAGCATTCTCATAGACGGCATCATCAAAGTACTTCCTCTTATGTCACCAACTCCTCTACCTTCAGGATACGTGTTTGCATGGAAGTATGCAGTGAGCAGTGAATGGGTCGCCTGAACATTAACTTCAGTCACTGCGTACACCTACTTGTTCCTCTACAAATGCGCTGATCAGTGGTTGCTGTTTGACTTCAAACTCAAAGAAGACGTAGAAAGGAAACAAACTGGCATCGTCTCCTACTAGGTTTAACTGGCATGGGCTAAACACAGGTCCATTGTCTTTACCAAATTAATGCAGCGCCCATTTTGCAATCTTTCGTAAATTGCAAAATGCTATTTCTAACGAGTTGTATCCTAAAATGTACTAAGTTAGCGGTCCATAATGCAATGCGCGACCTGCTCGAAGGTATTATTTGCGTTAAATGTAGGCTTTGCATAGGAGGCGAAAAAAGGAAAGACATCTGCACAATATATTAGATGGATCTGTCAAGGCGATTGCTTAATCAAATATTTCTGAAGGAAAAGTGGTATACATGCTTGCCCTTATTTACTTCACCACTACGTTTGGCATTCCGGCGACGAGCAAGAGCAGTGAATGTGGGCTCAGACGCGAGGCAAGACGAGAGAACAAGGTCAGCGGAGGTGACAGATGTGGTGTATTTGGACATCATGCCGCCGACAGTAAAACTGATCGCATAGTTATCCGCACTGAAAGCGTTTTACTTCAGTTGCACCCACACAGTACGCTGAATATAGATGACAAGAGGTGACTTTATTGTTGTCGTGGTGGCAGAACGATCGATCTACGTGGGTAGCGAACATGACGACACAGCTTCTTGGAGAAGCAACTAATGCAGCTGCAATCTGACATCGGCGTTGGGTCGTTGACACCGCCTCAAGCATTCACAACACACCCATATGAAACTGGGGACAAGGGATTCCGGTGAGACACTCCGCTGTGTAAAACTCCGCACTCAACAAAGTCTCCACTGAGCAGCGCCACGCCGCCTCTTCTTTAAAAATCACTTTCTTCGTCGGGACTTTTAAACCAGAAAAAAAATTAACCAAAAATTATGTAGTTAAAATAAGTTTTTGTTTTAACTTGTTTTGTTTTGTTTAAACTCATAGGGAAATATTACTGTGCAGGACCCGGGGACAAGACGTAACTTACCACGGAATGAGCACTTTTATGCACTAATGCAAAAAAAATTGGGATGTGATGAACCGATGAAACGAGCTGGATGCGGAACTGGTCAAGGTGCTGTACTCCATCGGTGGTGGTAGTAACAGCTGCAGCAGTCATGTCACCATTGGCAGAGATGGGCGGAAAGGAAAGATAGAAGACCGTGAGCAGATCCTCAACAACTCGTAGAACTATCTCTTCGGTCCGCTGTCTTTCCTCTGTTCCAAGGGGGAAACATATAACTCGTGGACATCCTACAGCAAAATTTGACAGATTCATCGCAGCCTGCCTTTATTCTTTCGTCAATACGACACATGGAATCCACAGGGAAAGTGAGGCGCAAGAGGTGCACTCCGGTCAATCCGCGACTTTGGGTACCAAAAGTAAGGTTTAGATAAAGCATAAAGTAAAAAATGGTACCGACGGTTGCACAAAGTCTCTTTACACACATCTCTGCGCTCAGCCATTATTTGCCAAGATTCTACAACCGGCTCCTCACTCAACACTTTCGTTTCGATAGACAGTAAATAGGTGTCTTTGCTGACTTCATCCGATTACAAAGGCTGGTCTTCGTATACGGTCGTGTTTCGCTTACTACCGCCACCACCATTTCGTTTCTGTGCACCAATGCCTAGCGTTCTATGGCGTGCCCGGTTCCTCAAATGACATGTGATGTTCCTGTGACACAAAACCCACGTTTCCGTTCACCCAGGCAATCGATACTTGACTTCATTCAACAGCGGATACCGAAGACCATCTTGGCGAAATGGGTCTTGTCTCAAAGTTAAGAAAACTTAATTTCTTCTTCTCCAAATCAAGATGCTTGAAAGAAGGTGCATGTGATGCAAAATCGAAAGAAGTAAATTTAAACAATATAATTTCCATTGATACCATCCTTCCTTTAAAGCCTGTGGCCTTCGAAAAGAAATGGAGGGGAGTTATGAACTCCTACCACAAGCAAGGTGGTGAGGAAGTGTACGACTTCTACGATGATGAGATCGTAGCGGGCCGCCTCAAATTTTGCGGAACCTGTGGTCTGATAGAAATTGACGAAATTGGTTGGATGGAGGAGAAGGGTTGCTATAACTACGAGTACCACCCACTTTCCCATGCTGAGCGCAGACGAAAACGGGTAGAGTTGGAGAATTACATAATGGACGAAGTGCCGGAAACGGAACGACTTATGAAGAGCTACGTAAAAGGGGAAATCGGATAAGAGTTTTGCTAAATGCGACAGGGAGAAGTATCATTTACCCATGTTATATGATGAAGCCTTATCCCCACGCACGTAAGCAGCCTCCTCAATATCAGCGCTAAAATACCGGCTGCTCCTAAATTCAATCACGCATTTGGGATGGCGCCACAGCTGGAATTTATGTTTGTCCGTGGAATGCAGAGTAATGTACGATAAGTGATATTTGTGGAGAGCACCGGCTCTGCTCTCATTCCTGTAGCAATACTATTTCCTGGTCAATGCTTCATATTCTCTTTGTCAAGAACTTGAATTCGGTGCCAATTTGACATCGTCGTAATGAAAATCGCATTTCTCAACTTCTGCATTGGATCCCGCTGAAGGATTTCAATAAACGGTAATTTGAACTAATCCCTACAATGAGGAAGGGACAATTTGGAATGAGGAGGAGGGTGTCGAAAAGAAGTTCATTGCATGTGCTAGCATAGTGCTGATACCCTTATTCAAGGTGAGATGCTAGACAGCCTGCTGTTTGCCGCATGCGCACCACAGCGTTCAGTAATGTGCCGAGTCCACGTGCACCATCACCAATGAACAACTGATCACCAGCAGCAAGAAACCTAAATTTCCTACACGTTAATCCTGATAATATCTGCTGTTAGTGGATGTTGATAAGTTGCCGTTGGTGTTTAAGCAAGATTCAAGTGACATTTACCGTAGATGTTGGTTAGTGGTCGAAGAGGGAAAGGCTAGATCGAGTGTTCTGTCGTGAATAATCAGATACTCATCAGGAGGACAATTGCATCATAGACGTCCATTCGAAGGGGCCGGTTTGACCCTAAAAGCAATCCGCGTAGGAGACTACTATAACTCCCCCAATTAAGGCCAGGTGTAGTCAGGCGCGACAGTTCGAGTGACTGTGTGTGGCAGAGATTGGAGTGAACCACCCTCTCACTTACAGCGAGGGCAGATAAGAGCTTGAGAAACTCGTATACAGGCTGACAAATTGCACTCAAATGTGAGGTTAGAGTGATTGCAATTAGGCCTTGTACTGGGCGATATTGGCTGGACTGAGCAGGTCTCATTGACGTCCCTCCGAATGTCTGCTGACATTTTGTTAGACTAGTGATTAATTTTTGACTACCATTGGCACATTTGATTAGATTGAACAAAACTCGTTTGCAGGCTTGCAAATTGGATTTAAATTTGAGGGACGGAACACTTTGCATATTACTAGAAAGGCGTTCTTTAGGGACTTTCGCTTAAGTTAT